CAGCTGTGCTGCTGGCCTCAAAACCTTTGTTTATAGATGTTCAAGATCTGCCTGTTTTCCAATGTAGTCCTGTTTCTCCTACTGTGACTAGCTGGATGTGATCTCCTCATCCTCTGACATGGGAGTTGGCTCGGAACTCGCCTGCCCGGCTGTGTGTTTCCTGGACGGGGCCACCTGTAGAACTGGCTGACAGTTGTCTTTTGTATCTCTTCTTCTTTCTGTAAGTCTGCTTCTGTCCCCTTGAACCCCAGTAAGCCTCAGCAGATTGTCGTTTGCACTGAGTCTGGTTCTTCCTGTAAAAAGGGAGTTTTTCCTCTCCACTGTCGCTACAAGTTGCTTAGTGTGAGGGACTGCCTTCGAGTCAATTAGTCGATGCAATCAACTAGTTTTCCTTAGAAAACTTTGAATCAATTTGACTGTATGATCTGGTTGAATTATAAAGTGCCTTGAGATGATGTGTTGTGAATTGGTGCTATATAATTAAACTGAATTGAATTCAATTTTCAATAGCTGTGTTCTCAATGTTAGATACTGGTTTGTGTTTATTTCATGTTCTTTTATTGATTCCCTCTGTTTCTGTTCTCTGATGCTCAACTTCTTCCACTCTATTCACTAATCTCTGCTGTCTCTTGTTCCATTCAAGGATTTATTTCATGTTCCTGATCTACACTTCAGGCTTTTGGTTTTTATGACCTTAGACATTGTTTTTTTAGTTGTCTTATATACCATTAAATATCTTTATTTATATATCAACACCCCCCAAATCTATAATTCAAATATTAGAATGCTTTCCCAGGGCAACACACTTTTTAAACAGTATTGACGTTCTACTTCTTTCCAAAGGTTTGGAAAAAAGGAGAATTTGAGACAAAATCAATCCGGGTGACTCCACTCTGAAAATAAACATATCTCTGAGGAATGCAGTGGATGTAATCAGCCCAGTTGAATGCAGGCAGCAGGTAGAGCATCTTCAAGGTCAGTTTCTATATATAGAGAGTCACTGAAGGGAAAATTGATTTGGAGAAAACTGGATAAAAGAAAGAAAGACGAAGCTTAAAATATTTGGTAATTTGAAAGTTGGGTTGATGGTTTATATCTAAAGTAGTAACCCAAGAGCTGTTTTAAGTCTTAGAGTCATAAAATGAAATTCAAAAGACTCATTTGCAGAAGAAGTAATATAATCTATCAGTTTTCCAAACTTTTTAAAACATAGTAATCTCTCTTACTTTACAGCTGTACATTTGAAGAAAGTAATTTATTTTTGTAAACTTACTTCTGCTCTATATTTTTAAACCAGTTGTTTTGACTTTTTTTTTTTGTCAATTCCAATTTCCTTAAGACAGGAAAGTTGTAGATCAATTTAAAGCCAGATTTGAGTAAAGTTATTGTTAGGGTCTCTGGGGTTTTGCTGTTTTTCTGGTGTGACAGAGAGAATTTTTGCGGGTGGCTATGCTGACCTGTGTTGCTGCACACCTGAGAACATTTCTCAGTCAAGAGGACTATTGTATATATTAGGATGCAAAGGATCTTCTCTATTTGCTGAATTATAACCCCTGATGGTATTCCTGCCAAAGACTTAAACCAGGAATATCCATCTTGTTATAGTTTGTTTTAACCGATGTAACACTTTTAATGTGTACTCCGTTATAGTTAAAAAAAAAAAAAAGTGAACCTCAGTTCATCTCCGATATTCTTGGAAAAGGTCTTACATGTACATTAGTTCTTAGTCTTCATCACCTGCCTGCCCACTCTTCAGCATGACGCCTCTTCCAAGTACCAACGCTCTCGGATCTCCCTCTCATTATCCTGGACCTCCGGGGTGCAGTCTGCAAAGCATGCTGAATCAAACCCTTAAGATCCATTCTACCTCCCCTTCATCCCTCAAGTAATCAGATAAGGAAATCAATCAGTCATCAGTTATCATTAACAAATTCCTTCCTGATCGCTCCGTTTTCTCCCCTCAGACCAACCAGAGAGTTCAACTGACCTCCTGCAGTTCTCCGCTTTCAGATTCTTGTTACTTTTGTAAATGAAACTTTAAAATGCATGTAGGTAAAAGAAAAAAAACAACTACAAACCAAAGTGACTGTCGTATTGTTTTATACATTTTAACACTAACCCTCATGTAATCTGACTTTGAGTCTATACTACGTCAATGAATTATATAAAATTATTGAATGAAAGCAAAAGTATGAAGAAAATCATTATTTCATCTTTGATTTTGTCTTAAAGTTGTGTTTTGCTCAGATTTTACCTCCTATAATAAGCATATTAAACTTTTCCTTTTTGATATGTATCTGACCTAAATGGATTTCACATAGCTTAAACTTATTTTGCATGTTTCCTGAGCAGATTTTCCTCTCAATGTCCCTGGTGATCCAGGAGTCCACTGGAGAGAGGAGGAGTACAGATAATGGATGAATGGAAGAACAGGACAGACACATAAGATAAATGACCATAGACATTTACCCGTATGCCTAAATTTAGAATGACTAATCAACCTAACAAAGCAAGCAACCCTGCTCCTAAACTGCAGTAATATTTTGAATTAAGAAAAATGATATTTAAAAAATGAGTGAGTGTTATATGATAAAAAGGTACAGATAGTTTTAAACCTTATAGGATAAATTATCTCTTAATACAAATACTGGGTATTTATATGTTAAAGACAATCTGAAACTGGCTGAGTTTTTAAACAAAATGCATAGGTGCAGTTGCTATTGAATATTTTAGTAAGTAGTTTAACATTTTTGATAAATGCAAAATGGGATACTTTTCATTAATTCAAATGTATTAAAACAAATGTTTAGAATTTAGAAAACAATACCTTAATTGCTCATTAAAAATAAATTGTAAATAGCAGAAAGATTTGCATGTGTGTAAGTATTTTTTGAATTTTATGAATCTTAAGAATGACATTTTATGAATGAAAAACCCACAATGGTCACAGAATAAATCTACACCAAGTAATAATATACATTCTATGAAAATGGTCAAATCATAGACTTAGACTTCTTAGAAAACTTTTATTGTCATTTTGTATACGCATAGTGTATATAAAACGAAATTTAATTTTGTACAGCTTTCATGACATTTCCATTTCTTAAAGTACAGAAGTTATCAAATGTAAATAGTGTGGGAGAAAAAACATGTTGCAAAAAAACTCATTGAAATGGAAGTTCAGAGCATTTAATATATATATAAAGTACATTTATGCAGTGTTTTAGTTTTGTGTTTTCAGTGTGATACACAGTCTGTGACATAATTTAGAGTTTTCACAACAGTTAAGCTGTCTGATGGCAGTGGGTAAGAAGCTGTTTCGGAATCTAATGGACCTGCATTGGATGCTTCGAAGGAGGGTGTGAGGGGTCATTGATGATGTTACGGGCTTGGGACATGCAACGCTCGGATGATATGTCTTTTATGGAGGGAAGAGAGGCCATGATAATTTCTCTGCCGCTCTCACCACACTTCTCACCTTCTTCAAGTCTGAGACGCTGCAGCCCCCACACCACACAGTGAGAAAACTGGTCAGAATGCTCTCTATGGTGCTTTTGTAGAAGGTCGTGAGGATGGGTGTGGGCAGGTGAGCTCTCCTCTTCCTCCGCAGGAAATACATACACTATTGTGCCCTTTTGATCAGTGAGGTGGTGTTTACAGTCCAGGTGAGGTTGTCTGTGATGTGCACCCTCAAGAATTTGGTGTTGCTGCCCACCTTTACTGCTGAGCTGTTGAAGAGCAGTGGCTAGTGGTTCTTCCTGAAGTCGACGATGATCTCCTTCGTTTTCGTTTTGCGTCGGGAACACTCTCTGGGCAGCTCTGTGCTGCAGCTCATCGGCTGGATACTGCCTTCCCTATGAGAGGATAGACTAAACTGTAACCAGTAACCTGTGTTTCTCCCACATCTAGAGTGCCAGTGATGGGTTGCACCCCACCCCCCTGCACCCGTTGCGGTCCGCAGATCACAGCTCAGCGCTTCTGTTCTGTTCATGTTCATGCTTTGAACTCTCCCACTGCCTGTCTCACCTTGAATACTGGGTCCATATGTCCTTGTTCATGACAGTAGAGGAGCTGAGCAGCTCCTTTAGTGAAGGACTTTTGCAAAAAGGAGTGCTACCGCAGGTCATTCATCCCTGCTGCAACCAGACTCTACAATGCAACAATACAACGGCAACAACCTGTGCAATGTATAATATGCAATTACTATTTGATACCCTGTGCAGTAACTATATCAATATGTGTGAGGGATTGTCTTCGAGTCATCGAGTCGATGCAATCAACTGGTTTTCCTTAGATAGAAAACTTTGAATCAGTTTTACTGTATGATCTGGTGAACTGTAAAGTTCCTTAAGATGGTTTACTGTGAATTGGTGCTATATAAATAAACTCAATTGAATTGAAAATTGAATATAAATACCCATGTAAACACCCTGTGCAATAACACTGTATAATGATCTTATTATGGACACATTGTATATACTACATATAACCATGAACCTTTTTCATTGTTTGGCACATTCTTGTTATTTGACTATTTTAGCAGATGTAAGGAGTAAATCTCTGTACTGTGAGATCAATAAAGACAATCAATCAATATGGATGTCAGAAAAGCCTTGAAAATTGGCTGGAAGAAATCTGTTGTTTAAAGAAAGACATAGGAAGTGTTTACACTTTGCTACAAGGCAAAAGGAGGACACAAGAAACATTTTGAAGAAACTGGTGAGGGATAGTTAAAGTTTGAAAAGAATAAGCTATGATATTGCTTCAATGAGACCAAAATAAAACATATTTTTAGTTTATTGTCATCGTTATTCAATTAAATCTTTTGCATCAGCTAAGGTATTTACTACATTTGGATTCCGTTTTTCTCACTCGTCACGCGCCTAATTCCCTCTGTAGGAGCGTGTTTTTTTTTTCTCTTTTTTTCCCACGCTGTGATGAGCGACGCTTCCTCTTTAATGTGAACCACTGAGGACCGGAGAGTCGGGGAAGGGGGAGCGCAGAGGGATAGGGCGAGGCGCGCAAGAGGCTTTTAGTATGCGATGCAATGCCCAGCTGCAGCCCACTCATCTCAACTATGGTAAATTATGGTGAAATATGAGAAACTAGAAGACGAGTCCGCAGTTTAAAAACGTGTTGAAAAACAGCCGCTGCTCATTTTAGTGAAACGAGCGCAAAGACGGAAAGATACTAAGGAGAAGAACGACCTGAAGGCTGCTCAAAAGAAGAGAAACTGGATAAAAATGAATCCGTCTGCGCAACAAGAGAATCCTGGTGAATTCCTGCATGCCATTAGCCTCTCTGAAGCAACCCTATAGTGCGAAGATAATGCTATGCTGTTTTTGTTTAGTGCATGAAGACTGTTGTTGCTGTCCTTCCACAAAGGATGGGGCTGCAAATGGCTTGAGCATGTCTGGCACCTGTCGTTCCAAACTAATGAGTTTATCAAGCAAGATGCCATTTAAGAAATTTTAATACCAATGCATGAACCCAACTCTGGCTGCCTTTTAAGCATAAACATACGTCCTCATGAGCGATTAAATACGTCATCTGGGGGTTGCGCACCCATGGTTCTCAGCATCAGCATAAGCATAAGCTTGTAGTGTGCATCACTAGTGATTTTTCATGGATAAAGCAAAAAAATAAAAAGACGATAAAATCTAGGTGAGATTGGCTTGCATAAATCACAATTAAGTAGTTAAAAATAAAGAACCCCATTCAGGCGAAACATATTCGGGGATCAAACAGGTGATTGCGCCTCACATCACGGTGCAGCATGGGTGTCTCTGCCAGCCGCGCTACCTGCTTCGCCTGGTTTCTTCTCTGCTATGAGTCGCCTTGGCGACAGGGGTTTAAGCCTGTCGCGTCGGCATGTTGTTCTAAACAAGGGGTTCGCTTTTGCTGATGACAGCATTTTCTGATGGTAAAACCGCCTTTCCCAACATCAGCCACCCAAACAGCTTCAGGCTGTAGCGCTTACTGCCCAGCATGTTTCTGTCGGACACGGAGACGAGGTGGGGTAAAACCTGCATCCTGACACCTTGTCCCCCCTCCTGTAGTCCCGCTGTTGCGTTGATGCAGAGGCGGAGTCATCCGGGGACTGATTACTCATCAAAAACGAGCCCATCTGGAAAAAGCCACTTTCTCTGGACCAAACTCTTCAACTGAGCCATTTTCATCAAGGTATAATTTTGTAAAAAGTACAATCTTATAACAATTATCGGCTTCTGATTTTATGCAGACACATATCCAACTCTCTAATTTACCCTATAAACCAAGGTGACAGATTGCACATATATGCAGAGTTTATTCTTCACATTTGCTTTTACAACCTTGTGATATTGTAGCCTTTATTTGTGCAACCATCCCCAACTGTGTTCTAAACATGAGTTTTAAGATTGTCACCACATAACATTTAAAACAAAATATTAAAATCACACCTATTCAGTTTTTAAAAGTACAATTACTTGGGTTTGTGTTTTACTTTCTTTTTTTTTTTTTTAAACCCCTAATTTTTCCAGTTGAAAAATGTGTCCTCTGTGTTTAACCTATCCTATCCTTGGAGCAGTATGCTGCATGCACTAAGTGACACCCTGAATACATTCTGGGGTTAAGGTTCTTGCTCAGCGACTTAAAGAAATAGAAAGCTTCAAACTGGCCACCTTTTGGGGCCTACTACTACTAGGTCACCACTTCCCTTTTATAAATATTCCTTCAAAGTGAAAACAAAATGATGCAGATTCATTGCTAATCAGCTTCAAATTATTGTATATTACAAACAGTAGTTTCCTCTGACAGGTAACACAGAGTCTGCCATAAATACATCGGTCCAATTCATAGACGTTAGGCCGTGATTTAGGGATGGATTATTGCTGAATTATTATTAAACTTTTAAAATCTATTCTTTTAAAATCTATTCTTTTAAACTTACTCATAAACTTACTCAAACTCATAAACTGCCAACTGCAGATGAGATGCACTTTCCATTGGCTACCTTAAGCTAAAAAATCTCAAAAAAGCTAAAAAAAAATCAATTGCCATCAATTTTTATATGAGTGTTATGGCTTTTTATAATCTACATACTGGCGTTTTAAATTAAAGTGACATGTAAAAAGATAAACTAAGACATTTTAAATTAGAAACTAAACCTTTTATTTACATGTAAACAGTTGCCCTGATAACCACAGCTAAGGTGTGATTTTTATTGCCAACACCTGTGTACAGTTTAAGAAATTCTGCTCACTTAGCTATTTTTAGTTTGGCATTAGGCTGTAACTGATAAAGTTGTACTTAAAACTGGATATGTATTAAAACTTTTGATCCAGCAGAGAAATTGTCACAACCAAAAAGATTCTGGCAGTTTTTAGAAATTGATAAATTGCCATTTTGATTATTGCCTAATCATATCAGTCTTACTGTTCACTGCAGAACTCTTCACACCTAGAATAACAGTTGACTCAGCAAATATCTTATGATAAATTCCAAATCCTGAGGTTGGACAGGGTTAGGGGTTGATATAGCATTACCCTAATCCTTTGTTTTAAGATTTTTACAATTATTCCACATTAAAATTTCAACAAATTTTTTTTTGCTTGATTTTACATAATTATTTTCCTGCCTGTGCCCTTAAGTTAGTTTTAAAACAGGTTTAATTAAACTTGACATATTATTGTTAATGTCTGCTTCTTAATTATAGTTGAAAGTAAACAAATACATTTCAATATTTTTTTCATTCTTGCTCTTGTTTAAAGGAAATTCCAATAACATTAGTTATACCTAATGGGAAGATCCGCCTCTGAGAATGTGAGAAGCACTCATCTTCTAATCAGATCTGCTTTGGTAATTCCATGCTGTAAAAGTGGACAGCATTATGGTGGGCATATTGATCCCACATGATGATTCTATGAAAAAGAGAGAACCTTACCGAACCTAACGCCTAAACCCTGTGAAGCCAAGAAGGCTCCAAATGTTCATTGCATCCCCTAAAATCTGTTCTACTTGACAATTTCTGCAATCCTCTGCTCTGTGTTTGTGAGAAGGTATTAAATGAGCATTTATTGGATATATGTGCAATTCATGCAAATAGTTTATGTAATAATTCAGAATCTAGGAATTGAATCCTGTTTGAATTTTAGATTCAGTTTTTATCAAATACTAATTAAAGTGAACAAGTTGTTACATTAATATTGCAGCGTTCCTCTTTTTTTCTGTCCTCAGCTTTTTGCAGGCAGATCTGCCTGTGTCTGATCCTACCAGTGTGCAGAGTTTTCACGTCCTAGTGGCCCATTGTGGCCCCGTCCTGTTTGAAAGCTGCAGCCCTCATCTTCCTCCACCATGACGGTTGCCACCAGCGACCCTGCGGATGAAGCTGCAACACATTCAGGTCAGCCTCATGACCAGTACGACCCAGATCCAGACCACGAGTGTTGCGAGAGGGTTGTCATCAACATCTCAGGCTTGCGCTTTGAAACTCAGTTGAAGACCCTTTCTCAGTTTCCAGATACACTGCTGGGTGATCCTAAGAAAAGAATGAGGTATTTTGATCCCCTTCGGAATGAGTACTTCTTTGACCGGAATCGACCAAGTTTTGATGCAATCCTCTATTATTATCAGTCTGGAGGGAGGCTTCGCCGACCTGTTAATGTGACTCTGGACATATTTTCTGAGGAGATTAGGTTTTATGAGTTAGGTGAGGAGGCCATGGAAATTTTCAGAGAGGATGAAGGTTTCATAAAGGAGGAAGAGCGACCACTGCCAGAAAACGAGTTTCAGAAACAAGTATGGCTTTTGTTTGAATACCCAGAGAGCTCAGGTCCAGCTCGAATCATTGCCATCATCTCTGTTATGGTGATTCTTATATCAATTGTAAGCTTCTGCCTAGAGACACTGCCACTTTTTCGAAATGAAGACGAGGAGATGTACAATTACCAACTGCAGTCCATGTCTAACTCCACCTCTACATATGATCCTTCACCATATTTTACAGATCCTTTCTTCATTGTGGAGACCCTCTGCATCATCTGGTTTTCTTTTGAGTTTCTGGTTAGGTTCTTTGCCTGTCCAAGCAAAGCTGGATTTTTTGGCAACATCATGAACATAATAGATATTGTTGCAATCATTCCATACTTCATCACCCTGGGCACAGAGCTTGCAGAGAGGCCAGAAGATAGCCAGGCTGGCCAGCAGGCCATGTCCTTGGCTATCCTCCGTGTTATTCGTCTAGTAAGGGTGTTTCGCATCTTCAAACTCTCACGCCACTCTAAGGGGCTGCAGATCTTAGGACAGACTCTAAAGGCAAGTATGCGTGAGCTGGGTCTCTTAATCTTTTTCTTGTTTATCGGGGTAATTCTCTTTTCTAGTGCTGTCTACTTTGCAGAAGCAGATGAGCCACAATCACAGTTTAGCAGCATTCCTGAAGCATTTTGGTGGGCAGTGGTTTCCATGACCACTGTAGGCTATGGAGATATGGTACCGACAACTATCGGTGGAAAAATAGTTGGCTCTCTTTGTGCAATTGCTGGTGTTCTGACCATTGCCTTACCCGTTCCTGTCATAGTATCAAATTTTAACTACTTCTACCATAGAGAGACAGAGGGCGAGGAACAAGCACAGTATCTGAATATCCCAAGTGTGCCTAAAGCCAGCTCTGCTGATGATCTGAAGAAGAGTGGTCGAAGTGGGAGTGGCTCCACTCTGAGTAAATCTGACTATGTTGAGATCCATGAGCCTGTTAACCACAACACTGATGACTTCAGACCAGAAGCCAAGAAAACAGGAAATTGCACTCTGGTTAACACTAATTACGTAAATATGGCAAAGATGCGTACAGATGTATAATGCAATGGATTGTCAATCATTGCCAGCAAAGAGTATAGCTGGAAGGTGATTCATGTCCCTCCCAATAGTACCAGGTATATGAACACTGAACAGAAGGAGAGCAAAGTGAACTTACACTAAAGGTTGATTAAAAAGACCTTACGTGTTCGCATCTTACAGACACCACAGACGGTTCACACTGTAAAACTGCCAGTCATCTTGTTTATGGCATTTTTTTATGTCTGCATGGAGTTAGTCTTACAGCTGAAACAGTTTGTAACAGTGTTTGTCCTGCTTGCATCAGTAGCCAGCTAGTAGCCAAATCAATAAGTTATTATAGCAACATGATGGGACCACTAGTATGTACTATATGGCTAAAACTGCTCCAGAGATAATTGATAGTGAAGATAATGTTAGGCTTTTTTTTTATGAATTTCTGACCAAGCTTGTATTTACAAAACACATTGTTTGAGCATCCACAGGCAGCTTTTATTCACTATAGTCTTTACAGTCCAGGTTTTGATTCCAAGAAAACAAAATCACAGGTATTACATCTGGGAAATCCTAATATTAGCAGCAAAGTGAGACATAGACATGAAGTTACAATGGTGTTTTCTTTGTCTGACTGTGCATTTAGAAATGATCCCTTGGCCCTGTCGCCTCCAGCTCAGGCTAGAGGGAATTATATGTCTAATTTGTTGTGATAATCAAAGTAGTTAAGACAACCAGAAAAGTAAAAGAATATATATCTTGAAACAGTGAAGATGTTTTGTTTTTATATTTTTGATATTTTTGTAGTTTGTTTTTACTGCGTTACATCTATAGCTCATGTATTTTTAATGTTGCTACACAGCATATGGGAATATTTTCACTGTATTGCAAAGAGTGACTGGCTGTTTCTTTTTTTCTGTTTGACTACAGTGTAGGTTGGGGCAGAACCTAATATTTTCTTTTTGTTATGAAGTTATCCTTTTATTATCTTCTGTTATAGGAGCCCACCATTCTTTCACTGCAACTAGTAGCAGTCAAGTTTTACAACTTAAAATTGTGAATTTTTTTAAATGACTGCATATACAAACTTTACCCACACCAGTTACCAAAAGTAATTTTTTAAAATGTATGACCCTCATGTAAGGACTTGCCCTTAACTCCCCAACCTATAACTGTCTGTGATGTAAGATTTTTGAAACCACTGCCCTACATATTTTTTCAACTTCATATCATTCCATGTTAGAAAAAGATTAAGAAGACACTTTATTATATTCTATACTTTAATGTGAAGCTGATATCAGATGTATTTCATATATGTTGCACATATCCAACCTAATGTATGACTTTGATTATTCATGCCTTTTATAGCATTACCCTTAAAGGTATTATTGTTATCAGAACTACATGCAACCAAAGACTGAGCTCAGCTAAATTTACTCAAGTTACTCAGAGTAATATGGTCAACCATTACTTGATCAGACAACTCTTTGTTTGTTTGCTATTAGAATGTAAGAATGAATGTTTTTTTTATATGATTTGCAAAGAGGCTTGCTTACAACATTCAGCAGCACTGTAGCTGCAATGGAAGCATTAACACTAATTACTTGATTTGATGTAATGCTTTTGTCCACCATTTCTCCTGTAATTTGCTCCTGAGCAAATGATCCAGTAAACTACCTTCTTCTAAAAACAAATTAAGGTAAAACATGTAATGTCCGTTTATATAAATGTGAGATACAATATTGCTTTTTGTATCTTTGTCTTCAAACAACATACATTAATCAGGCATAGCATAACCAATGACATCAGAGGAAAGCAGAGCTTGGCTTTGTCTTCATGGCATTTGTTTGTGGAAGTGATAAATCAGACAGCAAGAGAGCATTTGCTTATCAAACTAAAAGTGTTAGAAGTAAGGAAAGAAGTGTTTCAGTTTGTGGTGGTTATTATCTAAGAAAACTGATTGCCAGAAGAAGCAATTTGAAACAGTGACAAGATCATGAGTAAACAAGGCTCATAAATGCATTTGGGGAGCACAGAATGCGCAGTATGACCTAATCCAACCATGGTACTCAGATTGCAGAACAACTTTTATGTGTGTTCTGCATAATCTTTACGTCACAGACACAGTTGATAATAATTTGTTGTATATTGTTTTGGACTCCTGTATCCCAGTCAGGGAGGTAATGCTGACCCCTTTCCACTGCTGAAAGTAGCTGAATCTCCAGAACTACATTAAAGAAGGTGGTCTGGTCATAAGTATTACATTTCCTTTTGTTTGGATATTCACTTGTGGAACACATGGCACCAACATGCAGTGTGGGAACAAGCAAGTTAGCAGAGTTACCTAGACACTTCAGGCAATATTATGCTGGGGAGTGTTTGCCATTCAGAATGTTTTTCTTTGACTTGCTTCATTTATATCATCACTGTCTAACACTGTGCACTTCCCTGAAAATTGTATTATTGATAGCTTTGGTCAGCAGGTTAATACACACTCCCACAAAGCAGGATTGCACTTTAGATTTTTTGAAAGTACACTATTACTAGTGTTAGATGTTTAGCTTGGCCTCTAGAATCTCAAAATCTCAATCTAATTAAACATTTGCTTTGATGTATGGAGCTTATCTCCAATTTGCAGATGACAGAGCTTAGGACCAGTTCCCTCTCAAGCTTTATTGACCACAGTCTGTGTTTCCTTTGTGCAAAATGGTTGTTTAAGCTCTGCAATGAACTATACAAGAAAAATAGTCTGCCCAGCATGAAAGTGACCAATGCATTCATATGTCTACTGACTGTCCAGCAAACTAGAGAAATAATAATAAAAACATGGAGGATATCTTGCTGCCTTCTGTGCTTCTCATCCCTGCTAATATCCTGTAGAAAGCCATTAGCTCTCTACCCAAAGATAATATATTTCCATTTTTAGTACTGTCCAATCAATGAGCTGAACTTTCCTGGTCAGACATCATTTCAGCAGTACCACCTGAAACAGGCAGTCGATATAGCTATATAATGTTATCCTTGATGTTTGAAAAGTGAAAGTTAACTACAATAAATAAAGATTGACATTTAGAGGGCATTTTTCTTTAAATCTGACTGTGAAAGCCCCTTTAAATAATCGTGTGCTAACATATTGGTACCAGATACGTCAAGGGTCTAGTGGAGTTCATGTCTCAACAAGTAGACACAGATATCTTATTTGGTTCTATGCTATGCCTGATTGTTGTATTTTGTTTTTCAGTTGTTTAGTATCCTATTAGTTCAGCAGCCATCTATTATGCATAAACATAGTAATGTAGGCAAGCAAGGTTACCATTTGCTGGTTCTCATTATCCAGTGTAATTCTACTTTTGTAGAACTGCATGTGCCCTAAAATTGTAGCATGCCCTAGGATGAGTAACATTTAAATATTCAATTTAATTAATCATACTCCAATAACACCAAAGGTACTCACACTTACGTCACAATACATTTAAAGATAAAGTTCTGTGTGTCTATGAATCTTTTTGAACCTGCAGGTAATGTATGAGAGGAAACTATTTTATTATAATCTTTATAAGTTATGCTGTTATACAATCAAGGATTTTAAAACCTATAATCTACAGTTGGATGTTAAATACTCATTCTTTTTTCCTGCAGTTTAGTGTCCTACAGTCCATCAAAATAAAAGCACAACAGCTACTACCTGCTGCCTACCTAATAGATGCAAGGAGATTCTCAGTGGGTCAGTCAGAGTTTTTGCTCAGCTGAGTATATTATAATGCTCCAAGGAAATGTCTGAGTGCTCCTCTCACTGACGTATCGTTCCATCAAGCTTGATACGTGGCATGTATCTGTGTCTTTACATCTGTGTTCAAGAGAGAGCCAGTGAAATGGAAAGCTTTTAGACACACATAAGCCGAGTGTTGAGCTTTTAGAGGCATTGTAGCGGCCACTGTTAACTGCAAGCTCAAATGACAGTGTGGTCAGTGTGCTCTAATGTATCTTTGCATTTTTGTGTATTGTATACATATGCATATTGTACGTCAAACAAAAGAAAAAAACATTGTAAGAATGCCCTGTTACACTCTGAAGGTGTGTTTCACATATGTGTTAACTTATGGGATAAGCTACAGTGTCTGTCAACGCCTGTATTACATGAAACTATGAAAAAAATGATGGGTAAATATATCCGATAGCGGATGTAATATAAACACTGCCTTCACCCCAGTTTCCTTTTTTGTTTTCTTTTAACTGTGTTGTGCTCATTTCTCTGAGCCGGGAATTGTCGAACACCTATGTCACTTTAAGCTTGGCCCTGAACACTGTTCCTTCAGTTCTTGTTACCAAGCACACAATTGAAGTGACGTGCTGCCAAGACAAAACCTTCTCTATCAGGAGGCGAGGATGGGATGCAAACTGCAGAAGATGTCTCTTTTCTGTTGTTGGCAACATTTAGACACACAAACTCAAACTGACCATTTGAAAGCATACAGCTTGTGTACTCGTGTGTACATACACTGCCTGTGGAAATTATTCTTAATGGACATACCTGATGTCAGGATGGAAAACCTACATGTGGCTTTGTTCAGCCTGAAGGCCATAAAGGACTCAAAACTATTGCTGATGGGATTGTACTGTTGTAGCCATACTAATGTATCTAAAACTTGCAGCTGCTTTAAATGATGTCTTCTGTCTTAAAACGCTTTAAGCTTCTGCCATGTATAGACTCTCCTTCGTGTAAGAGAAATTATAAATATGCTGCTGATCTAATCAAAGTTTAAGGGATAGATAGTGAACATATAGTATTATTCCAATGAAAGCTGAACTGATGTGCTACCAGAATATGTTAAACATTGTTTTTCTGTTTGAATGTCATCAAATCAAATGCAGCATCTGAGGTTTATAACAGAAAATAATCACACACAGGCCTTGCTCAAATACGTTGTGTCTTGATATGTCTACTTTCTGTATCCTGAGCCAACTGTGTGTCATTGATAAAATCAAGATAATCGTGTGCTCCTTGAATATTTGGCTTCTCAACTTCCTCTGTAACTACCGTTTTTCCACTTTATTTGGAAAATACTAAACCGTGAAGCAAACTGTATATTGTTGCCTAAAGAAGAAGTATCTGTCTGAATGCTTGCCATACTCTATACATGGACTTCTGATTGACATAAATATGGTAGTCAGGAAAATCTTTAGTCTGGTGTTTTTATTTGTAATGACTGTAAATCTGGATCATGCAATGGGATGAATGATCATTCCAATGAGAACTCCCCATCTCTACCTAAGCACAATTTTCTATTACTTTCCTTATTCTCAATTTGACAGTAACACATATTTAAAACAATTCCTGTAGAGCATAAATATACATATTTGACCATTTAAACACATTTTTTATTACAGTAACTTGACAATATGCTTCCTGTACTAATCGTGTAAGCCACATCAATTTTTTATCCATGCCCGAATGAACAAGTATGACTTGAAAATGTCATGATCAGGTTTTTTTGTAGTTGATTTAGTTAATCAATCGCATACATTTAAGCCTAGAATTATTTTATTATATATATGGGAGATTAAGATTTAAACATGTTCTGTTTATAAAGGAATTTGTCTATAGGATATAACACCAGTATCTCTCAAAAGATAATAAAATCGTGTAAAAAGCAGTAACAAAATATTCTTTCTCATTTTATTTAAAATGTCATATAGAAATATGTCTATAGAAATTTTATTCATCATTTGAAAAATATTAAATAATACCTCTAGGCACAAAAATCATAGTTACTCTAACCCTTAATCTATATGATGATGCACTTGTTCAAAGTTCAAATAAATGAGATAGAAACAAGTAGTGGATCAAATCTTTTATTGTCTCTGCAAAGTGACATGAGTCCAGCTGGTAAGCTGCTGCAGTCCTCTGCAAAGGTCCATCCTTGGTTCTTAGAGATAGGAGACATGACTCAGGCAGATAAGGTGGCAGTTTTGTTGTTTACACTATAATGCTAAGGTAGATTGGAGTATTTGAATAAATGAACTATATAATACTTCAACATGATTCCAGAAGTTGAATGCAATCATATTCACTATTTATTCCAAAACCAATGTTATTACAAGTATCAGATTTAATAACTGAATGAATGAATGAATGAATGAACGAATTAATTAATTAATTAATTATTTTATTTCGGACAAACCCATAAAATTAAAAACATTCAACAAATACAAACATGATATATATTTAATGCAATTTATTATTACATTGTATTTTGTGTTTATGTACTGTAGGAATATTGGTAGAAACCTATTTAATTATACCCCAAACGACTTATGAGGCCATACTATTCAAAAGTTCAATAAAGTGAGCATGTAAATGAATTTCTTTACATATAAATATACATATACATGTTCATAACATCATAACCCATATAACCAAAACCACTGCCAACCAGTATGTAAACCCCCATAGTGACTAGGAGTACCCATTGATCTTCAGCCCCTTCTTCCATCTCATAAATAGGTTGTTGATTTATGGTGACTGAAGAATGGCAGTCCTGCAACTAGCTAAGTGACTTTTACTGTTTCCATAAATTGACGGGTGGGTTAAATATAGATATTAACCTTCATATACAGTATAATGTGATATGTTTTGGCTTTATTATAATAACTTTAAACTTGTTCACCCAACCTTGTTTCTAATATTTTTTTTACAATGCATTGAACTTGTCTAATGGATCATTAATACACTGAAAAAAAGAACAGTTCCTGGTTTAGAATTCAAGCACAATTCTCTTAGCAGCTGTGTTTGTCACCTACTAAGCTCAGTTCACTTTTTATAATTTTTTATCTATCCAACACATACTTTTTAAAGGATTTTCTCTTGTGTGCATCTCCCTCCATGTAGAGCAACTCTAAGCAGTGTGGTAATGCACAGTGGTTGAACTGATTCTCCTCCCAGACATATAGGTGGAGTGGAGAACTCCCTCTGGGCGTCTCGGTTGACTGGGTTCCGGTATGTTAGCAGAGAAAGGCAGTTTAGCAGCTTTCAGATAACTAATGGGGGTTTTGCCACTGATTTATATTTCTAATTACATACATTAAGGAAATGGCTTTTTCCTAAGTATATTATAAAAGAAACAGGTTTACAAAATTGAATCACTTTTAAAGGCAAAATTGTTTCATTTTTTTTTTTTTTTTACATAAAATTCATTGTAACAGTATAGTATGTAGTGTGTAAATTTCCTAACCAATATGTAAATATGTAATTCATAACATGTATGTTTGGCCTTTTTCACTATATAACAGGATATAAATATAAAATGTTGTGAGGTATAAATAAAAGTAGCGTTGGGTGTAATAAAGATATATTGAACCATACTTCCAATACATTTTCCAGACCAATTTTATCCCCTAAGTCATCCTGATCCACACAAGTGCACTTGTGTCTGGATGTAATATGACTCTATTTCCAATAAGCTAAATGAATGCCTTGGAGCACTCTCCATTGCAGTAAGGACTGATTTACCACCTTATACATAAAACACTTAATGGTCTGAACTTTCTTTATAGCACATAATTCTCCATGGGTGGATGCTGTGCAGTTAATGTGCTCACATTTATATTCATGTTCGTCTCGGAATAAGGGGAAATTCATTTTATCTTTAAACAATCTACAGTTAAGTGAAGGAAGGTTACTTTTTGTTTCTCACTGCAATATTTTGTTTTTTGTTGTTGTAAGAAGAAAATAGAGTGAAGTAAAATAGCTGATTGATTATATACAGTATAAGCTTAGAAACTATCCAGGCAGACAGACATGGTGCTGTAGAGGGGAAATTTGGGTGGGATTTTTTTTTTCAGACACATTATGGATGGGTGAATAACATCAGGAGCATAAACTGAGTTTTTGTAGCAACAAGTTTGGTTTGCCGTGACTGAGGATATGTTTCTAGTGTTACAGGACTATAAACATGCTACTCTGAGACGTCCTACAACATGAAGATCCAGGAGAATCTGGCCCACTTGAGTAACCACACAGAAAACCTTTCAGTGATTTGAACAATGTAGACTGCACTTTTTCTTTCTTTCTTTCAACAAGTACAAAGCAATAAAATATAGTTTGCATCTATCTAGTGGTGCAATACAGGATATAAATATTTATTTACATGTTTACATAAACTATATGCATGAACTATACATGGAGGATTTACAGTTTATATACAGCTATAGTTGAGAAGTGTGTGTAAGTGGTGTTGGAACAGTCTATAGGACATTTTGAAGGTCCTCACATGCCATTTTGCTAATGGTTAGGTTTAGGGCTAAGGTGTCAATTGGTTAGGGTTAGCATGAGGTATGCATTGGTAATGGTTAGGTTTAGGGTTAAGGCATAGAAAGGGTTGAAAATGACTGAAAATCAAGGGAAGTCACTGGGAGTCAACACATGGTCCTCACTACAATGGCATAACGAGTATGTGTGTGAGGACATTTCATATGTTATTGTTGTTATAGTTGTTCATACTTGCATTTTATGCCATGTTAACATGAAGATCTATCAATATGCAGCATATTTCAGTAACTTTGCAGAATAGGGTAATCTTCACTTCTCAATTATTAAAAAAACAATTTCTTCTTAGTATATTTAGCAGTGATGCTCTCAATCACAAAACAAGCTTAAATCGGAGGCAGCCAGACCTGCTCAGTTTTTCTGAAAAAATGTCGACACCTACACAAAAGTGTCGAAACATTTTCAGAAAAGCTGGGGAAAGTCTGCTGGCCTCCAATTTAAGCCTGTGTTGTGGTTGCCATAATTTGCACAGCCAATGATTCACTCAGTTTATCTTTAGCTTGACTACTGTAGCAACATAATGTGAGCCAAATATACCCATGGGTTAGAGAAACACACATATGTATACAAAATCTAAAGAAAAACTCCCATAAATACGAAATAAGGATGCATAGTTAAGAAGATCCCATTCAAGAACCACCTGCTTTCCATAAAGACAAAAAAAAGAAACACTCTTTCATGTGAAAATATAATAATATTGACTTGCATATGTATAAAGTTTAATTCATCAGTTATTTGACAAATCACCAAATATCAGAGAGCAACGTTTAGTTGTAGAGCTTCTTGAAGCGCTCTCAACGTTCATGTTTGCCCCCTAGTGGACAATCTAAATGGATATCACTGCACAAATACAAATTCAGTCTGTTTTTTTGAGTAAATAATTTATTTATTATTCATTGATTAATATTTATTTCTGAACTTACATATCTAAAATAAACATTATTTAAATCTTGACTTTTAAATTTCAGATATAGAAAAAAAAAATCATGATTATGGCTTGGAACCACATAAATAAAATAAAAAAAATTGTAAACCTGACAATCTGCCAGACACAGACAAAGAGGGTTGGTTGTAGTAGAATTAGAATGTGTGCAGAGCATATTCACATGCAATAGAAATTACTTCTTAACCAAATGAAAAATAGCAGAATTTTTCTTGACCAATGGAGATAAGAGACTGGATTGTATATGCTGATCAATACCATGCACCGTTTATGTTTCTTTCATTGGCCTTTTGTTATTTTATATGTGGGCCTGGAAATCTAGAGTTTATAAGTGAGTATGTGTCACTGAGGGGTTTGCAAAGTGCAATAGTAGTAACCACAGTAAAAACAAAGCCAATGATATCCACTTCATTCTCTCCTCTCTGCACCTCCCACTAACTCATTGCTCCCAGACATAATGTGATGGCCTTAAAATATCCCACTCACATAAATAATTCATAATCTCTAAAACCACGCTCCACAATCCCTTCTGGTTTTCAGTTTCTCTGTCTCCCTCTCTCTAGGGTTGTCTGTTTTTAGATCATTAGATTAAAATTGCTTAAAATTGCTTGATGGTTAGAATATGATGATATCTGGAGGTGTGTTTCCCTGTCACTTAATATAAAATAAAGATGTCGTCTCACAGCCCCCATTGAAGAAGTAATAAAAATATGCTGCTATTTTTATCTACTATTGTCCTGTTCATGGATCAACTAGATATAACAATGTGAGTGATTAGATTTATTAGACTGATAAGTTTGATATGATTTTTTTAAATCAGTCTATCTCAATGAGAAATTTTAGCTGAAAAAAAAGCCTAAAATAAAACTATAAGCAGGTATTTTGCTCATTTGTTTTCTCTTTGATGATTTTTCTTGTCTTTACCTTCTCTATTTGTCCTATGATTGTCACTAAGTTAGGGAAACATAACCTTAACAGATTGTTATAGCAGAACAGCTCTCCAGACAGAAAAGTCACTGGGACAAAATGAGTGGGAGAAGGAAAGCAGGACTGCTGGGATGTGCAACCAGAGTGTCCT